GTGCATGTGTGTGTGAATGTGATTGTTCGTATACATACATATGCATACATGTATGCAAATATATATATACACACACACACACATACACATTTATAGCTAGATTTATTTATTTACTTTTAGAGACAGGGTTTTGCTCTGCCACCCAGGCTATAGTGCAGTGGCACAACCATAGCTCACTGCAGCCTCAAACTCCTGGGCTCAAGCAATCCTCCCTCCTCAGCCTCCTGAGTGGCTAGGAGTATAGGCGCAAGCCACTGCACCCAGCTATATTTATTTTTCTATCTATTTATCTATATACTTAAAACCATGAGTTCATACTAGCTATGGACTGAATTGTGTCCCCTCAAAATTCACATGTTGAAGCCCTAACCTCCAATGAGGCTGTACTGGAAACAAGGAAGTAATTAAGATTAAATGAGGTCATAAAGGTGAAGCCCCAATTTAATAGGATTAGTGTCCTTGGCCGGGCACAGCACTTTGGGAGGCCGAGGTGGGTGGATCACTTGAGGAAAGGAGTTCGAGACCAGCCTGGCCTACATGGTGAAACCCTGTCTCAACTAAAAATACAAAATTAGCAGGGCATGATGGCGCGTGCCTGTTATCCCAGCTACTCAGGAGGCTGAGGCAGGAGAATCACTTGAACCCAGGAGGCATAGGTTGCAGTGAGCTGAGATCTCATCACTACACTCCAGCCTGGCAACAAAGCAAGACTGTTTCAAAAAAAAAAAGATAAGGATTAATGTCCCCATGGAAGAGAAGAGACCCCAGAGCTCGCTCACATATGCTCTGTCTCTCTTTCAGCATGTGAAGACACAGTGAGAAGGCGGCCATCTACAAGCCAGGAAGAGAACCCTCACCAGAAATTGAATTGGCTGGCATCTTAAGCGTGGACTTCCCAAATGTTATTGGGAAGTCTATGGTATTTTGTTACAGCAGGCTAATAATACTGACATTTAATTCTAATCTACATGAATGGCGTACTTTTTTAGTGCTTCTATAATGTACCATTTTTCTATAAGGACTTTGCTATTTTTGGCCTGTCCAGATTGTCAGTTGATAGAAGAGGGTTAGAGTCTAGTTGCCTTGTGTAATGTCATAAGTAGAAGGGGCTTTCTTAAAAAGTTGAGAATGTCCATGATTATTTATCAATAAAATCAGAGTTAATCCAAAAGTTGCACTGTTGCATGTCAGCTAAATGTAAAAGTTCTCTCTCCTTTGCCCAGAACAGGACAAATAGCAAAAAGAAACCCATGGGAATAAGTGTCAACCCCAGCAGGGGACCATAACTGTCCAGCTGCTTGAATCATTCCTGCAGGCTAGAAAAGGGAAGGAGTCCAATGCTGGTTTAGTGTCTATAGCAAGGTATATATTAGGAACTCAGCCTACAGTACCTCACCTTGTCCTCACAGCAACACTGAAAAGTGGTGTGATTCTTCTCATTTTAAAGACAAGAAAACAGAGAGACAGTAGGCCAGGTGCAGTGGCTCACACCTGTAATCCCAACACCTTGGGAGGCCGAGGCGGGCAGATCACCTGAGGTCGGGAGTTTGAGACCAGCCTGACCAACATGGAAAAACTCCACCTCTACTGAAAATACAAAATTAGCTGGCTGTGGTGGCACATGCCTGTAATCCCAGCTACTCAGGAGGCTGAAGCAGGAGAATCACTTGAACCCGGGAGGTGGAGGTTGCAATGAGCAGAGATCGCACCATTGAACTCCAGCTTGGACAACAAGAGCAAAACTCGGTCTCAAAAAAAAAAAAAAAAGAAAAGAATAAAAGCCAGTGGCTCACACCTGTAATCCCAGCACTTTGGGAGGCTGAAGCGGACGGATCAGGAGGTCAAGAGATCAAGACCATCCTGGCCAACATGGTGAAACCTGGTCTCTGAAAAAAAAAAAAAATTTTTTTTAATTAAAAAAAGAAAATAGGCAGAGAGATTAAGTCATTTGCTTAAGGTTAAATAGCTAGAACCCCCTCCCTAGATTATATATACTTCCTTTGAGGATGAAAATCAATACTGAGTTGAACCATATTAGAGCCTAAAACAAAAGAAAGAATATATGCCCCATATGCACTTACCTTCCATATTTTAAACCAAATAGAAAAAGTGGATATAAGCATTACAATGAAAAAAATGACTACATATAAAGTTCTATGTTATTCAATCTGTTCACATGTTATTGTCAGCTCTCACAAAGTCACTTGTCAGGACATGCAGTGGCAGTCTGCCTGGGAACTCTGGGCTGATTGGTAATGAGTGTTCTCACTGCAAAATAATGCAAGGTCATAAGCAATAGCCTGCCTATATTTTAAATGTTAACATTCTGTTCATCATGGGTTTTTTGCATTAATTTTTGTTTTTAAAAATATTGTGTTAAGATATTATTTATCTTGGATTTCCTGAGTTTTTGGTGCCCTCTTAAATTTTATGCCTGAAGGGAGTTCCTCACTCAACTCACTTTAATCTGGGCCCTGGGTAAAATCAAGCTTGGGCCTGAATTTCATGAGATTCCTACTCACCAGAGTTGACCTTCTCTACATAGAGCCCTGTCCGGGATGATTACTGACTCCAGCACCATTCCATGGGTCTCGGATGACTCCACTCCTGGTGAGGCTCACATGGCCCACATGACTGTGGAGTGCCCCAACTTCTCGCCAGAAGTATTGAATCACAAAGCTGTAACAATAGAAATGGTTCCATCGTGTGGAAAGCACATGATCACGTGCCTGCAAAAATGTTTGGTGACACCAGATATTCTCCACCCAGCCTTAGTCACATCTGACCCAGAAACCACAAGTTTCCAGTTCCTACCTTGGGATGCTCATCTAAGCTCATGGCATCAGAATTCCTAGGTTCCCCCAGCACCTATATGCCAAGAGTCTGGCTTCCCTACTGCTTAGAATGGGCCAGTGAGAGTCACCAGCTCAGAAGCTCAGCCTTTGGTTTGGGAGCCTGCACAGTCCCCTCCTTAGCCAAGTAGTTGGCTGAAAGTCCCTGCACCAATACCCCAGATGAACACTGCTGATTTCTTTGTTCTTTTCAACAGTTCCCCACGGCTTTAGGAAAAGTGAAGAGAAGCTACTGTTAAAACACTTTTAGCGACTGGGCACAGTGGCTCACGCCTGTAATCCCAGCACTTTGGGAGGCCAGGGTGGGTAGATTACTGAGGTCAGGAGGTCAAGATCAGCCTAGCCAACATGGTGAAACCCTGTCTCTACTAATAATACAAAAATTAGCTGGGTATAGAGTCTGTAATCCCAGCTACTCAGGAGGCTGAGGCAGAAGAATTGCTTGAACCCGGGAGGCAGAGGTTGCACTGAGCTGAGATTGTCCTACTGCACTCCAGCTTGGGTGACAAAAAAAAAAAAAAAAAAACTTTTAGCCACAGCACAACACTTACTAATGCTGTTTTGTGCAGAAGGACAGAGGGAGGAACTGGAGATAACGGCACGAGGAAGAACAGCTCTTAACCCCTTCACCCTGCAACAAGGAATTCACAAATACCCATGTGCTGGCTCTTCCCCTTCCCACCCAGAACTTTTACAGATGAAGAATCAAGCGCAAATGGGTAAGAAGTCAGCTATGAAGTAAAAAGGAAGTCAGGGAGACCCAGGAGCCTTTCCTGAGCATCGCTGAACAAGTGCACAAACACCTCATCTTCCAAAGACAAAACAAGCATTTTATGAGGCCCATTGGACACCCTGTATCCACCCCTGCCCCCTCCAATCCAAGTTCCAAGCTGTAGCCAGAGTAACCCTCTAAAAACACAAACTTGTCATGAGGATGAAATGAGCTAGTATTTGCAAAGTGCTGACTGGCACTACTGGCACGTGCGTGGTAAGTACTATAAAATGCCCATTACATAAACACAGTACATATAATGCCATTCCCTGGTTAAACTCCTCTGAGGATCACATGCAACCTTTTCTGCCTGCCTCTGCCTTCTGCTTCCCACCGCCCTCTCTCTTGCTAGCCTTACTCCAGATCTCACTGAATTCCTCCTGAGCCAAGCTACCTCCTGGCCCAAGCAAGTGTCCTTCCGCTTTCCTTAAAACACTCTCCTCATACCCACTCCTCTTCATTTGACCAATTTCAACTCCTTCTTTATATCTCAGCTTAAATGTTGTTTCTTCAGGCCTCCTGAACCTCCCACAGGAAGCTTAGGTTCCTCCATATTTGTTCTCTTCTAGCCATAACATTGATCACAACTGTAATCACATACTAATTTAGGTTGTTTAATCACATACTGTTTTAATTAATCACATACTTTTTTGGGCTGTTAACTGTCTGCCTCCCTTACTAGGCTGTAGACGCCCCAGGATAAGGGCTATAGGTCTTTCTGTCTCTATTGTTTACTGCCTATCAAGGAATTCGGACAGCATAGGTCACTAATGAACATTTCCGAATGAATACAAACTTTGAAATACTGTCTTGTTTAGGTAACAGGCCCAAAGTCGCACAAATGACTCAAGATTTGAACCCACGACATTCTGGCTTTGAAGCCTAAGGTCTGACTGCATCACCAACTGCCCCTCCTCTCCCTCAAAGCCAGAGCCAAACGCAAGTGGGCTGGGAGGGGAGCTGAGCGGTAGAGTCTGAGGATCTGAGAGAGCCACGCACTGCAAGGCAGTCGGCGCCGCGCCATCGCTGGCCTCGGGCCCAGGAGAAGGGGCATCCGTCACGTGTACCCTGCAGGGCTAGCGGCCGCCGCACCCTGGGGCAGGAATGCAGCCCCGCCCGGCTCCCGCGCCAGCAAAACCGCGCTGGCGTTGGGGACTGACGTCAATGAAAGGGGCGCCTCGGGCGCAGCGCGAGGACTGCTAGGGCAGTGGGCAGAGCCAGGGCAGACACGCCCCCCACCGCAGCTCCGCAGCTGATTAGGTTCGAAGAAGCCTCGCACTCGGCTTTCCAGGCCAGCGGGGGCGGGGGCGGGGATGTACACGCCCCCTCCCGTCTCCCGCCTCTGATTGGCGCACGGAGCTCCGCCTTGGGTTTGGAAGGCTCGCCTGGGAGCTCGCGCCCGGCTCGGGCCGAGGATTGGCGGTTCCGGGGCTGGGGAGCGCTTTCTCCCGGGAGCTGCTGCTGTGACCCGAGTGGCTCGGACCAGCTTGCGGTCGCGTGCGGCCCCCCTCGAGCAACCGGGTCCGTAGGTCGGCGGCCCGCCTCGGCGCTGCGGTGGGAGTCGGGGTGCCACGGGGACGCGACCACCAGATCCACTTAGGGCCCCGTCGTTCTGAGAAGCGGCCACGTCTGAGCCCCGGGGCCTCCTCGTGCTGGAGATGTCGCCTTAGGAGCTCGGCCAGGATACCGTCTCCCATGCTCTTGTGCTGTCCGGGAGCACCGCCTGGCCTTGTGGGCACCCTCGCAGCAGGAAGCCCAGAGCTGCGCCCGCCCTTTCGGAAGGCTGTGGAAGGGGTTGGAGTGGGCGCATCTTACCTCGTCTCATCCCCATTTGAGGTCTGTCGGAGCTTCCCTGCAGCGTGGTGAGTACCTGCTCCAATTCTCTGCGAGGCGGAGGAGTGCACAGGGCACAGAGGCTGGCTTGGGAGTCCTGACCTTGGATCCCTGCGTCTTCCACGATCCACAGAAGCAGATAGCCTCCGAAAGGCTTCTGGGCCCGACCTTCCCCAGAAGACCTCCTCAGCCATCTGGCAGGAACAAAAATAACTTAGTGGTTGAGAGCCCGGGTGCTGGGGTCAATCTGCCTGGTTCATGTCCCAACTTCCATCACCTGCCAGCTGTGTGACTTTGGGTGTAGCTTTCTCATCTGTAAAATGGGTGTAATAGTGCCACCTCATGTGAGGAAGAAAGAAAGCACCCATCTGAACGTGCTCTGTTCTGTGATTGACACCGAACAAGCTGCCTCTATGAGTTCAATCATAAAGCTAAGATTTAAAACTACACAGGTTTGCTGATGGCAGTGATGATGAAAATGACAATGATTCTATAGCCCCTGGTAGTCAAACAGCCTTTCCCTTCATCATGTATTCAATCAGCATACATAGAATATGTTATACCAGGTACTAGTAGGAATGCCCTCGCAAACTCCATTTTCCCATCAAGGGTTATTCATTTTCACCATTTATTTTAAAAAGCTTGTTTAAAATTTTGTAGAGACAGTCATGCTATATTGACCAGGCTGGTCTCGAACTCCTGAGCTCAAGTGGTCCTCCCACCTCAGCCTCCCAAAGTGCTGGGATCACAGGCAGGAGCCACCAGGCCTGGCCTTATTCACACCATTTTGACCATGAGCAACTTGTAGCAGGGGAAACTAAGACTTCTCCAAGGTCAGTTAGCAGCACAGCCAGAATTCAGGGTTCTAGAACTCTTGAAAAGGGTTATCCCTAGATCTAGTAGCAGTTTATTTCCAGGTCATATATGAGAATTGGTCTGGGGAAAGGGCCCAGTTCCCTTCTCCACCTCCTGGGACACAGATTTGAAGGCCAATGTATATCCAGTTCTCTAGGCATACCTGCCTGAGGCTAGGCCTTGCTGGTGGGGAAGCCCACACAGCCATTTGAACTGGGCTTCCCATTTGAGGAGCCACAGATTTTGGCTGCTGTCCAGTGGCATGTTTGTGTAGGGTAGCAGGCCAGGGCCCCAAGTATCGATTTGGGCTTTGGGCCAGAGGCTCCAGTAATTTTTCTATGAGGCCCTAGGTCCCTGATTACAGAGATTATTGCTGTCACCTGGGTTATTGGAAGGGGGCCTCCAGCTGTGTGAGGACACAGGTGTTGCCAACTCAACCAAATGTGTCCTGCCTCGTGGTTTCCGTGCCTTCCTGGGACTACAGTGAGATACTCACCTAGAATAGCTGTCTGTACTGAACTTCGTGTATTACAAAAAGCGCACCATATTTATATATTGCAAATTCATTGCATGGTGAGTCACTTTTTAAATATATTTCTTTGTTAGGGTTCCACAGTTCTTCACTTATTGCCTGTTTCAAATCAAGTTGAACTTTGTCATTTTCAATGTTTGGCATTTCCTTTGGGGTTCAATTCCAACCTAGTTTGTGTCAAATTGAAGTATTTTGCAATTGGTCTTTACTCGTTTGTACACATACCCATGCTTATCTTCTTTTATGTCAGCTCAGAAATGAAAGATCCATTTGTAATCTTTTAATAGCCTCATGGATTTATTTTCTAGTTTTCAAAAGAACCATTGTTCAAGTATAAACAATATGCTTGAACAATGTTAAGATCTTGTCCAGGAAATCTGAGGGAAAATAACTGTTGAACACATTGAATGGGACAAGAAAAGTTTCTTTTGATAATAAAAGTGTTCTGATTCACCATTTAGTCGGTGTTCCTAAAGTCTACCAATCTAATCCTACCTGGAGTCTGCCTATTTTTATTCCCAGCCTCACTCTGCTGTCTGAATCCCAGAATAAGAGGCAAAGTCAAGAGTGAGGGGTCTCTGACGGATGCGGTGACTCACACCTGTAATCCCAACACTCTGGGAGGATGAGATGGGTGGATTACTTGAGGTCAGGAGTTCAAGACCAGCCTGGACATCATGGTGAAACCTCAAAACCTCATCTCTACTAAAAATACAAAAATTAGGCATGGTGGCAGGCACCTGTAATCCCAGCTACTTGGGAGGCTGAGGCAAAAGAATTGCGTGAACCTTGGAGGCGGAGGTTGCAGTGAGCCAAGATTGCGCCACTGCACTCCAGCCTGGGTGGTAGAGACTCTGCCGGAAAAAAAAAAAAAAAAAAAAAAAAAAAAAAGTGAGGGGCCCAAAATCTGGATGTGCTAAGTCCTCCCCAAGGTTCATGGAGGGTATGGTTGAGGCTGAAGGCTCAGACTCTCCCCAAGCGTTTCTTGGTATGTTTGTAATGCAGCTTGCTGAAGCTGTGGAGTCAAGCCATTGCCATCCTGGCAGAAGTTGCTGGGAAGTCAGGCTCCAAGCCATTTCCTCCCGAGGCAGCTGCTGCTACTTGATCCGTGTTGCCCTTCTTTCCCTGGGGAGGTGAGGCCGGATATCACCCTTTCTCCTACCACCCCAGACCAGCCTAGGAGTCTTCCCTGGGCGTGGTCATAGCCAGCTGAGGTCACCAGGGAGCTTTAGAGCAGTGAGTTCTGCCCACTGCAGCAAAACAGCAGAGCAGGGAGGAGAAAGGGAGTTACTGGCTGGGGAATGTCCTAGCACCCAGTTAGCCAGACCTGTTCACACATGTTGCCCCTAGGCTTTGGCAGACAAGCAGCTCCATTCCTCCTTCTGTACAGACTTATCTGTCTGTGGAATTGTTGGCTCCCAGCACTGGCGCAGGCCCTCAGAAACCATTAGCATCAACCTGTTCTTACAGCAGTAACAGGAAAACTGATCCACAGATGGGATGTGAATTGCCTGAGGCCTTTCAGCCAGTGAGTGGCAGAAGCAGGGCTTGAACCCACTCCTCTGACTCGTAAGTCAGGGCTCTGTGTACTGGGCTGGGTTGCTGCTCTAGATTTCTTCTGTGGAAGCTTGACTCTTCCTCTTTAGAGGGCTACGGCTTCAAGGCTGGGCTAGCTGTCACCCAGGAAAGAGCCCTGACCCTAGTGAATAGACTAAAAGAAATTCCACAGCTCCACCCCTACCTTCCCAGGTGGGATAATTCATTGTTCTTCCCTTTCCATCGGCAGGACTTCCCCTTCAAGAATTAGGTGGGAATAAGAAAGTACTTTTCACAGAAACGTGACGTGTTCTTGAAGCTGCCTGGCTGTGAAGTCAGCTCGGGCTTGCTGGGCATAGTGGCTCACATCTGTAATCCCACCACTCGGAGAGGCTGAGGCGGCTGGATCACCTGAGGTCAGGAGTTCAAGACCAGCATCTCTACTGGTCTTGACCAGTTCAAGACCCCATCTCTACTAAAAATACAAAAAATTATCTGGGCGTGGTGAAGGATGTCTATAATCCCAGCTACTTGGGAGGCTGAGGTAGGACAATTGCTTAAACCCAGGAGGCGGAGGTTACAGTGAGCTGAGATTGCACCACTGCACTCCAGCTTGGGCAACAAGAGCGAAACTTGCTCTCAAAAAGATAAAAAGTGTGGGCTGCAGTCATTTAAACCACCTCTGGCCTCAGCTGAGCCACTGGTACTCATATTTGCATCTCAGCTTCCCTTTACTCCCCTATGAAATGGAGTAACAGTGCCTAACTCCTAGAATTATTTTGAGGATTAAAGGAGATCATCCCAAAAAAAAAAAGATATTATCCATATTGCCTGATACAGAGTAAACATCCCAGAGTTAGCTTTTATGTATCTTTATTAGCCTGAAACTGTGACTTGGTGACTGTTGTCTTCTGGTCACAGTGTGTTTTGTCATCCAGCTCTGGGGGCTTACTTACCACATAGATTAGGTTTTAACTGGATTTTCATAATAGCACCTAAGGAGGGGCAGATTTTAAAATTCCCATTTTCCAGAAAAAAAGTACAGTTTTCATACGTTAACTTATCTGGAAGTCTTCTGCAGCTTTTTTTTTTTTTTTTTTTTTTTTTTTTTTTTTTTTTTTTTTTTTTTTTTTTTTTTTGAGATGGAATCTTGCTGTGTCACCCAGGCTGAAGTGCAATGGCATGATCTCGGCTCACCGCAACCTCTGCCTCCCAGGTTCAAGTGATTCTCCTGCTTCAGCCTCCCGAGTAGCTGGGATTACAGGCACACAGCACCACGCCCAGCTAATTTTTGTATTTTTAGTAGAGACAGGGTTTCACCATGTTGGTCAGGCTGGTCTGGAACTCTGACCTTGTGATGCGCCTGCCTTGGCCTCCCAAAGTGCTGGGATTACAGACATGAGCCACCACACTGGACCTGCAGCTTTTAGTTGTTAAATCTTTTGAAAACAGGGTGGGGTTTTTATGATAGAAGGCCTGGAAACTGAGACAGGGTGCGCGTGGAAATGACTGGAATAATGAGGGTGACTTTTGAGGTGGGGAGCACGGAAGGCCAGGGCAAGGGAGGGAGTCATATTTTGGGAGTATGAGTGGGGCAGAGACAACTCAAACTCTTACAGAGAACAAAAGGCAGGTTAGGGGAAGGGTTACTTCTGCAAGTTAGTTGAAAGGAATTGGAAAAGCTTTTATTTATAAGCTTTTGTACTGTTTGCCTCTTAGGCTGAGCATGTAAATATTTTAATTTAAACATATTTAAACGTTCCTTTTCCCCCTTTGTAAGCTGGTTGCTGTTGACAGCTGTCTCTGTAGCTGCCTGTGGAATGAGGTCTGACTCAGGCAGCCAGGCCCTGGGGAAGCAGCAGGACCTGCTCCTCCTCTCCCCAACAGGCTTGGGGCTGGGAGAGGAGGGCAGGACCACAGGCCTGTCTTCAGCTGGCTGTGGCCACACAGCTTGGAGGAAAGGAGGGTTCACCTGTACCCCTGACCTAGGTGCAAAGGTCACAGAGGCCAAAAGAGGAGGATTTGCATTTACAAATTCCTCAGTATCCATGGAGGGTGGTTCCAGGATCCTCCTTGGATGCTCGAGTCACTTACATAAAATGCCATGTTTACGTATAGACTGTGCACATCCTCCTGTGTACTTTAAATCATCTCGAGTACTTATAATACCTAATACAATGTGAATGCTCTGTAAACTATATTTTTTATTTGTATTTTTTAATTGTTGTATCATTATATTCTTAAGTTTTTTATTTATTCAAGGTTGGCTGAATCCCTGGATGTGGAACCCACAGATGCTGAGGGCCAGCTATAGCTCTTATTGGGTGACTGATATACTAGGCTCATTTAATCCTTACTATAGCCCTAAGAAGTGGCTAATCATATCCCCATTTTACAGTTAAGAAAACAGGCTCAGAGAGGAGGTTGGGTAACTTGCTGAAGGTGTCAGAGTCGGGATTCAAACCCCGTTCTGTGGAATGCCAGTCTTCCCTTGTTTCCAGGCTGTGCTGGAGACAAGGATAAGGTGGGTAAGCTTCTTAGGCCTTTATTACTCAAAGTGAACTATATCTAGAATCAGGGAGATCATTTAATTTTCACTTCCTGGATATAATGGGAGACATTGACACGAGAGCCTAACTTCTATTGAACTTTCTTATCAATTTCAGCCTCTGCCCTTGACAGTATATTCTAATACTTGTCACCTCCTCTTCTGCCTCCCTCTCTCTCATTAGGTCCCTTGGACAGGGGTTAGATATGATTGGCTCATTTCATACTATATTTGCTAAATTACATGGATTTGGTTCATCCCAAATCCAAGGGATGGTTCAAGGTCTTGAAAATAGGAGGTGGGATGATGTCTCAACACTGACCACTATTCTATATGCTTTGTATCTTCCTTCAGTCTTCAAATTAATCCTACAAAGTAGGTACTAGTACCAGGTGATAATCTGACACACGAGGCAGCTAAGGCAGGGAGGATGCCCAGCCAGTAAGTGCTGGAGGGGGATAAAAGTGGGATTCCAACCTGGGTAGCCCAGCTCCATGACTCCTCTGTTACCTGTGTGCTATAGCACCTGGGCTGGAGTTCATCAGAGAGGTCTGGGTTCTCATCCTAGTTGCATAACCATGGATGATTAACCTTTCCTCAGATTCCTCATCTGTGAAATGAGGAGGATAAAAATACCCACGTTGGCCAGGCACAGTGGCTCACATCTGTAATCCCAGCACTTTGGGAGGCTGAGAGGGGTGGATCACCTGAGGTCAGGAGTTCAAGGCCAGCCTGGCCAACATGGTAAAACCTCATCTCTACTAAAAATACAAAAATTAGGCATGGTGGCACAAGCCTGTAATCCCAGCTACACAGGAGGCTGAGGCAGGAGGCTTCCGGAACCCGGGAGACAGAGGTTGCAGTGAGCCAAGATCACACCACTGCACTCCAGCCTGGGTGACAGAGATTCCGTCTCAGAGAAAAAAAATACCCACATCCCAGGGCTGTTGTGCTTGTTACATCTCATTGATACTGTGTGAATGAAGCTCTTACAGGCGCCTGGTGTTAAGTACTCAACACAGTTGAGCTGCTACTGGGCATCCTGGTGTCTGCATGGAACTTACAGCTAGACAGACCTGGGTTCCACTCCTGGCTCTGCACGTGCACATGGCTTTGACACTGGCAAGTCATTTAACCATTCTTCATCTGTAAAATGAGGATAAACCATAATTCTTACCTCACAGGTTGCTGCGAATCTTAAATGAGATAATGTAGGTGTCTGACACATAGATGCTTAAGTCATTTTAAGGCAAGAGACCTCCTCCAGTTTAGCTCCTGGAGAATGGAAACACCAGGAGCCCTAGTATTAGCCAGGACCCCCAGGTCTGGGAAGGGCCAGCTGAGTTGCTGATGTCTCCATGCTTTGCATCCTCAGAGCATCCACAATGGGGACCCCAGCCTCGGTGGTCAGTGAGCCACCACCTTGGCAGGCCCCAACTGAGGCCCGGGGCCGCAAGCAGGCCTCAGCCAACATCTTCCAGGACGCCGAGCTGCTGCAGATCCAAGGCCTGTTTCAACGCAGCGGGGACCAGCTGGCTGAGGAACGGGCACAGATCATCTGGGAATGTGCAGGAGACCACCGTGTGGCGGAGGCCCTGAAGAGGCTGCGCAGGAAGAGGCCCCCAAGGCAGAAACCCCTCGGCCACTCGCTACACCACTGCAGCCGGCTCAGGTAGGTTCCTAGAGCTGGATGGCTGAGGGAAGAGCACCGTTGTGTGGCTGTGTGGCCTGGAGCTAGTTACCTGGCCTCACTATGAAGTGCCTGCCTACCATTGGGATGGTTATAAGGTCTACAGTGTCACCACTTGGTTGGCACTTAAAAGACTGCTGTTGGCCAGGTACAGTGGCTCATGCTTATAATCCCAGCACTTTGGGAGGCAGAGGCATGTGGATCACTAGGTCAGGAATTTGAGACCAGCCTGACCAACATGGTAAAACCCCATCTCTACTAAAAATAGAAAAATTACTCAGGCGTGGTGGTGCACGCCTATAATCCCAGCTACTGGGGAGGCTGAGGCAGGAGAATCGCTTGAACCCAGGAGGCAAAGGTTACAGTGAGCTGAGATTGCACCACTGAACTCCAATCTGGGTGACAGAGCAAGACTCCAATCTCCAAAAAAAAAAAAAAAAAAAAAAAAGATTGCTGTTAGTTTTGGAGTCATATACGACCCTGTGAACTCCCACGGCAAGAGATGTCTGGGCCCTAATAGCACCACCTCATTTCGCCGTGATTCTCAGCTTACCAGCCTAGGCAACAGAGCGAGAGCCCAATTCTAAAAAAAACCAAGAACATTAGCCAGGCATGGTGGCATGCACCTGCAGTCCCAGCTACTCCAGGGACTGAGGTAGGAGGATCACTGGAGGCCAGGAGTTTGAGACAGCAGTAAGTTATGATCCTGTCACTGTACTCCAGCCTGGGTGACAGAGTGAGACCCCCATCTCTTTTTTTTTTTTTTTTTGAGAC